TGTCTGGCACATATGTATTCAATAATTATTAGTACTTTTTATATTACTTCAAAAGCTATTTCACATCCTTACTGGGTAAGATAACTCACTGCCTCTGAAATCAGATGGGGCTTAGATTCTGCTCTGCCCTTTCTCACATGTGACTTTAGACTTAAACCCTCCGTGCCTCAGTTTTCTCATCTATAAAATGGGGAAAACCATAATGTCTACTTCAGAAGATTGTTATAAAGATTAAATGTGATGTTGGTGTTAGTTATCGCAATGTTAGTTGCTATAACAAGAAATCCTCCAAATTTCCTGTCATCATCCAATGCATTTTGATGGGTGACTTCTTTCCATATGATGTCCTAGGGACCAGGATCCTTCTCCTAGTATATTGTAGCTCTGTCATCTCTTAGGAACTAGTCTTCCTCTGAATCCAAGTGGCAGAAAGGAAATAAGAGTATGGAGAAGGCAGATCCAATTCTAAATGCTTTGGTCTGGGAGCAACACTTATTGTTTCATTCATATTCCATTAGCAAAAACAAGGAGGGCTGGGCCCAGCCAGCGTAGCTCAGTGGTTGAGCATTGACCTATGAAACAGGTGGTCACAGCTCAAATTCCCAGGCAGGGCACATGCCCGGGTTGCAAGCTTAATCCCAAGTGTGGGGCACGCAGGAGGCAGCTGATCAATGATTCTTTCTCATCATTAATGTTTCTCTCTCTCACTCTCCCTTCTTCTCTAAAAACAAAACAAAACAAAGCAAAACAAAACAAAACAAGGAGGGCTGGGATTTTAGACTCTGTATGGACAATCACTTCTCAGTGGCAACTCTACTGTACAAAATGAGGAGCATGCAACTCAAGGGGAGAGCTAGCTGTGTCCGCCACATTGAGAGAAATAATATTAGGATATTATTTGGGTACTATTAAATGTGAGAATTATGTTAAGTGTTATTGCTAATATTATTTTTATTTAATCCACACAATAACCATGGATGTAAGTGCTACTATTATCCACATTTTGTAGGAGAAAACTAAGTCCTCTAACAATGTAGACATATTCCCAAACTCACACATCTGGTAACTGGCTGAAATCCTATAAATTCTAAATTCAGTAAATTTTCTTGTTACTCCATAAAGAAATGAAGGATGTCCTGAATATAGGGGGCAGAGCCATGCCATGGTGGCTATAACCAGTGAAGAGGGCGGTTCTTGGTGAAGCTTGCCAGTTGAGCCCAGGACAAGGTCTGGATTGGCTAGGAAACATAGGTGTAACCACTCAAGTTTCTTCCCAGGGTACATACATGGTGAGCATCTGATTGGGACTAGTGGGGAAGAGGCAGGTGTTGCTTGGTTTGGGATTTTGTTTGTTTGTTTGTCTAATAATAGAAAACCAAGGTATTTATATAATCATTTAAACCCTATCAGGTAGGTTCTGTTAGTATCATATTCATTTTACAGATGGGCTAATTGTGGCACAAATAAGTAACTTGAGGTCACACAGCTAATAAGTGACAGAACTAGTGCTCAAATCCAGGAAGTCCAGCCCCAGAGCCCTTGCTATGTTGCCTTTTGTTTACAATGAACGCAAAGAAGGAAATAGCAAACAGGATCCAGTGGGAGCGAATTGTCAGAAAGTCACAGTCAATGGGACATTGGGCTACTTTCCTGTGGACATGAGACCCACCATCCCAGGACAGAGGAGTCAGGGAGAAATCCCACTGACCAAACTAGGTAGAAATTGCCACCAAAATCAAGGCACATTCAGATTTGCAGCTCCACACCAGAGTCCAGTGATCTACTCTGAGCTTGTAGGAACACAATTGGGAAAGTGAAGGCTTGCAAAAGACAATGGGCAACAAAACAGCCTCTGCTTTGTTCTTCATCAGCTGAGGGCCCTAACTAAGGACCCTCATAAAACAAGCCATCACCTCATTCATTATAATCAACCATTTCGGCTATGATTAGACAGTTAGACCAAGTACACCTGCAATAGCCAAGCAGCAGGTCACATGTACATGCGAAAGAAGTGCTCCAAGAAGGCCCAGCAGGAGGAGATCTGGTGTGACGGTGAGGACTTGAGCTCTGGGGTGACAGGCTTGGCCAGTCACTTAACTTCTCCAAGCCTCAGTTTCCTCATCTGAAAATAGAGGTAGCCACCTCCACCTGGCAAGGCCGTGGCCAGATAAAGGAGATGCCACTGGAAAGCAATAACACAGGCAGAGCCTGGCACAGAGTCAGGGTCAGTAAGTGGTAGGGCACAGTGGTATTATTAGCAGTGCTACTTGTTATGAATTATAAACAGGATGGGAAACAAGCAGAAGTCAAGTGCATTTTAAAGACACGCTGAAGGAGAGATAAAGGCCAGAGAAGCAGAAGGCCCTAAGAAAAGTACATCACAGCAGCCATTTTATGTCTGCCTATGGTCACAGGAGCTAACGGATGTGAAAGTGTTCTGCAAGCCTCACTGCCCTAGATGGCATCATTGCTCTGTGATTGTGCAGGTCTCAAGCAGTGTGGACATGGACATCCACACACTGTGTGCTACTGGGGCTTTTTAAATTATATTTTTTTATTGATTTCAGAGAGGAAAGGAGAGATAGAAACATCAATGATGAGAGAAAATCATTGATCAGCTGTCTCCTGCATACCCCCTACTAGGGATTGAGCCTGCAATCCGGGAATATGCCCTTGACCAGAATCAAACTTGGGACCCTTCAGTCAGCAGGCTGACTCTCTATCCACTGAGCCAAAACCAGCTAAGGCTAGTTGGGCTTTTGATTCCTTCTGCACATGGAGGCACGTGGAGCTTGGCTGAATGGAGCACGAATTACAGGAGGAGACATGGGTTTGTGTAATCCTAAGGGTTGGGGGAGGGTTTGACATTATAAGCAAGGTTACCAAGGGCCACTGAGGACTATGGAGAAACCAATCAGAGCAAGTCACTAAGGACTCCTTCCCTGGCTCATCTGCTCCCTGGAATACATGAGCCCAC